GCCAATGGCTCTATTCATGGGGGCTCTCTATTTAAGCCCCGTGGCCGGCTCAAGCTCACTCTCTTGGCCATTTGCATTGATATAGTAACCTTGTGAGCTTAGCCAAAGCCCTCCCACTCATCTCCATCATTGATTTATCATCTTTGTGAGATTGGAAGTGAATCCAAGTGCATTGCTTGAGTGTTCGCATCTAGAGGCACTTGGTGTTCGTGCTTCGCTGCGGGATTCACTTGTTACTCTTGGTTGTTGCCGCCACCTAGACGTCTTGGAGCAACGAGGATCGTTGAGCGGAGGTTGATGATTGTCTCTGGCTTCGATCGTCGGTGATTATGAGGGGTTCTTGACCTTTCTCCGGTGGAGAGCTAAAAGGTACTTTAGTAAATTGCTCATGGCTTGTGTGATCCTTATCTTGTGTTGGTTGTGCGGCACCCTATTGAGGGTTTGGCGTGTGGTGCCAATTAGCGCGTAAACCTCCAAGTGAGTGAATCGCCACAATGAGAACTAGCTTACCGAAAAGCAAGTGAACCTTGAAAAAAATTATTGTGTTATCATTTGATTCCGAGGTGATTGGTATTCATTCTTGTGATTGATTGATTCATTCCTCGACTCGGCGGTATAATCATCTTGCTCTATCTTTTAATATTATCGTAAACTAGTTGTCAAGCTCTTTAGTGTAGCTAGTCGTGAGAGCTTGTTAGTTATGATAGTGTGGCTCTTTAGTTAGCGTTTGAGAGCACACTAACTTAGTGTAGCACCATAGCCATTGTGTTGATAGAGACTATACAAAATAGAATTGGGTAGGTGGCTTGCAACTCTAAGTATAGTGCTAGCACAAAATTCGCTTCGCCATCTTATTGACTAATTATTCGTCTTAGTGTTGTTGTAGAAATTTTTTATAGGCTATTCACCCCCTTCTAGCCATTAGGACCTTTCACCACTGGCCGTCGACCTCGTGCGTACTACTCCGGCATCGGCATCGACTAGGCCATCAGCTGCCCCGGCACACCATTGTCTGTGCATCGATCGTCCCAGCACGGCTGCACGCCCTATCAGCTCGTCATCGACACCATCGTCGAGTACTACGTGCATCTTCTCCGAGCAACAGGGCTGCTGTTGTGTTGCCACATCAGGCCACAACATTGCCTCCCGTGTGTCCCTTCGTCGTCGCATCTACATCGCCGTCACCTATGCATCGATGACTATGATGCGCCATCTGTCTGCACAAGGTCTTCGTCCAGCTGATTGGGTCTTCGTTATCAGCTGCCGCTACCCACGCCTTCGCTGAGCCATGCTCGCCGGTCGCACCACTCGTGTCGCTGGTATTGGCAACACCAATGCGTGCTTTCGTCCCCGACGCGTTGCTGGGTGGCAAACCCAGCCTGTGCCTCGGCGCTCAGGCGGCTTGACTGCATCGACTTCGGCATCGACCCTCCTGTTCCCACCCCGTCTGCCTCGATTGCGTCGACTTCGGCATCGCCTCCTCCCAATACGGCTGCCTCAACGCATCTTCGTCATCACCTAGGCGCCCCTTGTGCGCCTGCAGCTCCATTGACACGGTAACCCGACCACAACTACGTCGACCTCGGCCATCTTCAGCAAGGCTTATTCGACCACGGCTACTGCCCCCTCAGGTCCTCACGCTCGGCTACCTCGACATCGGCACAAAGGGCTACCGCCTTGCTTGATGAGTCATCGGCTTCTTCTCTAGCCACAGCATACGCGACGCATCGACTGTTATGACTGTGGGGGGATGTTAGCTTTGTCAGTTTCTTCTCCAGTCTCACCGTCTACAGCGCTCCCGCTGTGACTGCGGGGGGATGTTAGAGTAAATAGGAATAGTACCACATTGTGTACGTGTGTGTCATATGCACCTTATATAATCAGCCCATAAGACCCAATGCAATACATCAAATATTCTATCAATTATTGCTCTGTTCGTTTAGCTGATAAGGTATGACGGTAAATACGGTTGACTAATTTATTATAAGAGAAAAATATTATTCATTGGCTCAAAAAATAGAAGCCAAGGGGCGTATATTCTCCTTCACCCGTGACCGTGAGGCAGGGACAGTGAAGCTAAGTTCTTCGCCATTACATGATTCAACGATCATCGTCGTCATGGACTCGTGGTCAGTGATGCGCTACTAGCTCCTGTACGTGCCCGCGAGGTAGGCGAGGCAGCCGACGAGGGGCGCGTTGGTGTACGTCGTGGGTTCCGACCGCGCGTAGTCGGCGCGGTCGTCCGGGAACTCGTCGTGCTCGTCGGGCCCGCCGACGACGGCGCCCGTGTGCACGTTTGGGTTGGCGCCGCTGGAATAGAAGTAGCTCTGGAACCCCTCCTGGCACCCGATGTGGGCCGGGTGGGCGGCCACCGACGGCAGGGACGACGCCCGGTGGTGGATCCTCTGCGGCCACCGCGCGCCGAAGTTCACCATGTAGGACATGCCCTTGGGGTTGACACCCAAGATGTAGTCCACCTGAAACAACATCGCCAATGTAGATCTACCTGCTGAACTAAAATCGTTACAGTTACAGTGTTTCGTTGCCGTGCCCGTGATCTACCTGCTGCTTGGCGAGAGCCCTGAGGGACCTGGCGGTGACGGGGAGGCTCTGGCAGGAGAAGGTGTGCTTGGTGACGGCCATGTACTTGGCGTAGGTGGTGAGCAGGAAGCTGGCCGAGGTGACGTACTGCAGGTTGGCGTAACCGGACTTGTGCATCAGGCGGCCGAGCGTGTACTGCGTCGTGGAGGAAGGGGAGTCGCGCAGGATCCTGCAGAAGAAGTCCTCGGCCTGCTGCCTGAACGGATCGAGCCTCTTGTCCCCGTTCACCAGAGCTCTCTGCATGCAGGATTGCAGGTGCAGCCGTGCAGGCACGCACACACAACACATGAGCATGGTGCAGAGAAGATCGAGCAGCCAATATGGTTGCTCCCTAGCTTGAGCGTGATTTATTCGTGCCACGTACCCGTGACAGTAGCACGCGCGCTCCGGCGAGCTTGTTGTCCCAGCTGAACATGTCGACGCTGTCGTTGTCCTCCAACGAGTAGAGGTAGCCGAGGTACGAGGAGTTCTTGGTCGCCCAGGCAGCAGCCACGCCGACCCCACAAGAGCTCGTCCTGCAAAGGGAAGCCACGCTCGAATTAGTCGATCAATCAATGATCACTGGTTGATCCCGGAGGTTCGATTTGATTCGGGAACGACCTTGTAGCCGGAGTATGACTGGTAGTAGGCGCCGATGTCGCCGCCGACGAAGTCGCTATACTTTCCCTGGTGCCGCACGGCGAGCTCCATCACGCCCCGTGCCGCGGCGAGCAGCCTCCTGGAGTAGGCCCGGTCGGCGGCCCTGAACACCATGCTGGCCGCAGCGAGCGCGGCCGCCGTCTCGCCGGCGACGTCGGATCCCGGCGCCGACGCGGACACCGCGTACACGGTCCTCGGCGTGTCCATGTCCTCAGGCCGCTCCCAGCACCGGTGGTCCGCGTCGGGGTCGCCCACGCCGACGTAGAGCGCGCCCGGGGTCTGCGTGGCGGCCTTGAGGAGGTAGTCCGCGCCCCACCGCACGGCGGCGCGAGCGTCGTGCACGCGCGCCTTCATCTTCCCGCCGTGCTCCAGGACGCCCCACGACAGCATCGTCGTCGTGAACGCCATCGGGAAGCCGAACTTGGCGTTGTCGCCGCCGTCGTAGTACCCGCCGGTGAGGTCGACCTGCCGCGCACGTTTCACGGTTTCAGAGATAACAAGAAAGGTCAACGTAAGTCCAAGCCCCACTGAACCAGGTCAAAGCGCTGACCACGTTCAAACAAACACACACGTCTTCTACAACAGGAAGTATTGGATTAGTGTGCAGGCCGGGCCCACGTACGTTTGCGGCCGAGCCGTCGGAGAGGCCGGAGTTGGACCGCCACGTGACGGCCTGGTCCGGCGGCAGCTGGCCGGACCTCTGCCCCTGGAAGAAGAGTATCGCCTTCGCGAGCGCGTCGGCATAATCGGGGTGTCCGCCGGCAGCGACATGGCTGGAGCGGGCAAGGAAGCAGACAGCGACGGCGAGAAGCACTAGAGCCTGCGGTGATGATGGCGATGGCATCGTCCTCGATCGTGCTGCCAATGCAGCTCGATTCGACAAGGCAGAGCTCATCATCATCTTCTCCGCCGCGCAACGCTCCCGGCCGAGTGTATAGTGCATCGCGGCGCGCGGGGATTTTATACGGCGAGGTTGCTGCATGGTGGGGGGCTTTGTTTATGTTATCATCTTATCTCAGTCGAGCTCGATCTTGCTCCGAGAAGCGCGCGAGTCAGAGCCGCCGATTGGTAACTGCGGTAGCATGGATACATGATCCAAGATTGGTCCTAATAATCCACGGTTGTTCATGATGATGTGGCGCGTTGCTAACTCCATTATCAGTGTTTGGAGTATTGCTCTGAAGGTAATCATATTGCAAGGGAAGGAACGCTTCAGAACAATAAATCTGTGATTGGGTCTTTTCGAGGAATGGTACTGTGAGACTAGTAGTAGATGTAGAACTTAAATGACGATCTCGTTCAGCGGGATCTTCTCTCGGTTTGTGTTTCTTGATCGGAATTATATTGTGGCTCGGAGCTTGCGATCATTCCGGAGGGGGCGGGGGTTGCTTGAGTGTGACTTAAAGGTGCAGGACAGTGGTGGAATCAGGGCGTGTTAGCTGCAGTTACTGATGGGTGGACAGAAGTGGCTGCTCCTGCTCTCGAGTATACAGTATGGCTGAATGCTATCTAACGAGGGGAACGTGAAACTGCGTATGTGATGTGAGATGGGAGGGGAGCCAAAGGGTCTCTAGTCCAATCCTTTCGTCTGTCCCACGTCAAAGCATAGGTCTAAGAAACGGATAGAGGTTCAGGGATTTTCTGAACCTGCGTGACAATGTTCTTCTTCTTAATGCAATACCCGGGAATGCAATACAAGGTTCTTCTTCAGGTTCTTCTTCTTTTAGCGCTTCCAAAAACTGAGCCCTCGACGCGCAAAGTTACGTGCAGTCGGGCTCACGCGGATCCTGCCGCGAGCCAGGTTTCTCGGGCCGTACCTGGCGCAGGGCCACATGCTCCTGCCCTCGACCACGCGAGGCTGCACGCCGCTCATAGCTCCGTCGCGCCCTGCTCCGGTCGACCTCAAGGAGGATTGGCTCGACCACATCGTGGCGGAGCAGCTCGAACCTGGGGTTCCGGAGGTGGTGCGCAACGTTCTCCTTCCTGCCGGTGAAGAAGTTGTCGACCACAATCACGCTGTCCCCCTGCTCCAGGAGCCGGTCGACGAGGTGGCTGCCGACGAACCCTGCCCCGCCGGTGACGACGACGCGGCGCGGCGGCGAGCGGAAGCCGGCGGGGACGCCGGAGCGGGTGGCGAAGGAGAAGAGCGGGCGGGCGTCGGGGAGGTGGGAGGACGGGGAGAGCAAGAGGTAGGGCCGGAGGAGGAAGAAGGTGGAGACGATGAGCGCGCCGAGGAGGACGAAGAGGAGGCACTGCTCGCGGAGGACATACCCGATCCAGGAGCGCGGCCGGGGCGCGCCGGCTTGGCGGCCTTGGGAGCCGGCGCATGCGCCGACGATGGCGCGTGGGTGGGGGAAGACTTGTGGAGCTGCTTCATGGCGGGAGAGCGCAGCCAGACGGAGGCGGGTGTGTGGTTGGTGACCTGGTATGGTGGTGGCGAGGATGTTTTCGACTGCCTGCCGTTGCTGTTGCCGTTGGCGGCACCACCGACGTCCACAACAGCGGCAAGCCAGACGAGAAAACAGCCCTGCGACCCGGATGCCCGCGCCCTGCTCCGCCCGTCCGCCCTGCTTCTGTGCTTCTGTGTACGTGGTTCTCAGAGGGAGAAGACGATGATAATTACCAAATTTGATTTTTTAGATGTCATTTATTAGAAACTTTTGAAGATAATATTCTTTTTTTCTCCTCAAATTTTTTTTAGGAGTTGTCAAAGTATAAGTTTTTAAGAAAAAAAATAGAAAACTCTTGGAGATGCTCTTAGACATGGGTAGGAATGCAAGCCGAGGACCCAGAACAGCTACCATGTCGGATGCTCAGGAAACGGAATTGCATATACCGACGAGAAATCAGGATCCAGGACTGCATTATCCTGGCGAAAACACGAACACACCAAAATAAACAACTAAAAAAAAGGAAAACACGAACACACCAAAATATAAACGTGGACGGTAGGATTCGAACCTACGCGGGCGAAACCCACATGATTTCTAGTCATGCCCAATAACCACTCTGGCACGTCCACCTGATCGTCAATAAGGGTTCTTTACTTACTATATATTGAAAAATTATGAGTACAGGCGTTGTCACCGATAATAGACTCAGTGGCCAGTAGCATAGTATGAGCTAATCGTCGTCGTGCACGGACCAGCCAGCAGGCGAAGTCGATTCGGAGGTCTGCTGCCTTTGTGCACATCCGGCGACACGTGCACAGTTGCTGCGGCGCTGCCTCTCTGTACAGGTTCCCTCTCGTTTGGATTTATTTTTCTTGATACCTAAAAGTTTTGCGTGTTATTGTATTAAGATAGAAAAAATATTCAATATAACATGTCTTAGCGGCGTCCTAGGAGGTCCTAGTGCATTCGTGCTCTGGCCACCGGGGCAACCGAGCAAGGGTCCGATTTCGTTGGCCCACTCAATGGACATTCTTTTTAAATCTCACGTCTAAAGGTCATTTGGATCATTTCATTTGGAGGAATTAAAATCTACTTAAAAAACTAAGCTATATGGCTTGGAATTTGACATTCACCACTTTCTAAAGTTTACATATAAGCCTATATCAAATTCATAGGGTGGGGGATGAAAATGGATTATATAGATCACCATGTTATGTTTCTACCTTGTAACTTATAACACCTTCTTCTCTCGCTCACCTACGGTAGAAATGCAACATGTAAGTATCTCTCTCGTATATCCAACAATAATATACGAATATAGTTTATATACAACCATATTAGCTTAATTAACATGTGTCTAAATTATTATTATAAAAAAGAATTCAATTCCAAAGATCCAAACGGGCCTAATAGTTAATTATAATTTTACTTATGTATAAAAATTCTAAAAAAAATAACAATATTTTGTATTTAGAGAGCCACATAGCTTCTCCAAAAGTGGAGAGCAAGAAAGGCGGGAAAGATAGAGAGTGGTGGTACAGAGAGTTTATTGAAGCATGTTTCTTGTTTGTTTTCTAAATTTTATGATAGCTCGCAAATATGTTCGCGCGTTATAATTTGATGTATAATTTGTTGTCCGGCACTTATGCCAATGATAATGAGGTAACTTTTGTTGGATTTAATTGAACTTAGCCCAACCTTAAATCAAATAAATCCCAAGAACCATAATAAATGCAAGAGCTATAAAAGATAATCATGTACTCTTGCATTTATTATGAGTATGGCAAATTGAGATGATATTGATTTAACTTAAATAAATGACTATTGTGTGCACTTGTGAGTTTAAGAAAGGTGAAAGACAACTATATTATGAGTGGTGCAACGCCAACAAAGGTTTTAAAGCTCCAAACTTAAAGAGGACATAGGATAGAGTGAGAGATGGAACGAACGAAGGTTATGTAACTCCAAACTTAGGGCAGTGCAGAGAGTGAGAGAGGAAACCGATGAAAGTTTTGCGGATCCAATTACCAAAAGGACGTGGAAGAGAGTGAGAGACAGAAGAGCTCCAAACTCGATAAGGACGATGAAGAGAGCCGAGATGGATGGATGGACGTAGGAGAGAGTGAGAGATGGTACAAAGATTTCTTTTAACCTTTTAATATTAGGTATAGATATAAATGTAGAAAAGCCACTTAAAATGTTTCTTAGATAATACACAACAATTGCTTATTGCTTATGAGTTATTTCTTTCGTTCTAAATTATAAGACATGTGACTTTTCTAGATACACTTGTTTTTAATATGTATCTAAACATAGTATAAATCTAAATGCATAATAAAAGCTATATATCTAGAAAAACCAAAATGTCTTACAATTTAAATGGAGAGATTATAATTTTACAAACATGATGAGATGCCATTACGATTTTTTGGATACACAACAATTGCTACGAGTTACTGCTTTCCGTATAAAAATATGTGTACTTTTAGCATTTAAAATTTATCCTATAATAAATATGCACACTTCTAGATAATGGACTATCTAGATTTTACAGGTTTTACTACTTTCTCAGTTGTTAAAGTGTAATTATTACATGATGGAACAATTTAGGTATTATCACTTCCTTCATCATAAATTAGCCCCGTTCGTTTGGCTGAAAATGGCTGAAAACACTGTTCCAGCTGAATTGTTGTGAGAGAAAAACACTGTTCCGGCTGAAAAAAGAAGCCGAATCAACCTCTAGAGTTGTCCTAAGTCAAGCTATTTTAAAATTAATTAAATTTATAAAAAATATGACACTGAACTAGTATTACTAGGTCCACTATGGATTATATTTTCTTAATGCGCTTATTGGGTGTCTAGATGTTATTTTTCTTTCTTATAAAATTGGTAAAATTTAAGAATTTGATGCTATGAATTAACTTATTATAAGATGGGGAAAGTATGTGTATTTATAGTTTTACATTATAGTACCATTATTTTTTCAAAATATTGTACAGTAGAAGTGTATTTATTTAGGAACATGATTTGTACCCAAGAAAAAGACAAACATAAAACCACTTCCTCCGTAGAGAGCGTTTTCTGACTTCGGAATCGGCCGTTCTCTCTGGCCTCTGGGCTCTTCTGTTTCCTTTGGTCACTCTCCTCGCCGTCGTGTTCCCCTCTGGCTCTGAGTCTCGCGGCTTCTTCTCGCGGGCACCACCGGCCGCTTCCTTTGCCACCGTAGTCCCAGGCTCCCAGCGCCGTCCATGGACCCCCCGCCGCTCTCCTCGTTGCAGGAGGAGGGGGAGGAGGAGCCCACCGTCGAGGACTCGTCCGCCTTCTCCGCCGCCGCCGTCCCGCCTCGCCCCGCCACGCAGTAAGCCACCCGTCACCCGCCCCCTCTCCCCGCAACACGTACACACACACACACACACACACACACACACACACACACACACACTTCTCGCACCTCCTAATTCCCCTTTCGGAACTGCGATCTGCAGCAGTCACTCGCTCCACAAGTACGCGCCGCTGGACTGGTCCGCCTACTTCGACGAGGAGCGCCGCGTAGCCATCCCCGACACCGACGACGTGGGTTTTGGGCTTTTGGCCTTAGCCGGAGTTCTCTCGGGTGCTTCTGTTACCCGATGCGATCTAAATGTTGGATCCTCCTCTTTTCTTATATATATTTTTTTCTCTAATTATTATAGGTTTTCAACGTGTACACGGCCGGATCGGAGGGGCCCGTCGTGTTCTGCCTGCACGGAGGTGGCTACTCAGGGTAAGTAGGCGCCGAGGTTTATCTACGAATAGTCTACACGTTTTGCTGGTGAATTGTGCAAATGTCCATGTGTTGGGACTTGCAGGAAATGCTTAGCATGGGCACTGAGGTTGATTGGGATGGGTTCAATCTAAACTCTAAATAGTCTTTAGTCTTGCACTGTAAACGTATTGGTGGGGAACTGGGGATGGAGCATAAAAGAATTTTTAAGCAACAGCTGCTATCTGTGACATTCAAAGTTGTGGGGGCAAAGTTAGTGCGTATTAATGAGCTTAAGGGCTGCGCTTGAATAAACCAGTGTGAAATGCTTATTTTGTGAAATTAAGAGTTGTGTGTGCATCTTGCTGGATTTCCAGAGCAATCCTTTTGGAACCTTTTTTTTTCCCACCGTGTGTTATTGAAAACGTAGAAATCACATCTTCTGCTGCGGTTGTGAAACATTTTGTTGAATTTCATTTTTGGTTAACTATTAACCCACAGTAGGGCACATGTTGAATGTACAGATGCTGCAATCAAATGTTTTCTTCCCGACAATGTTCACAATTGATCTTTATTCTTGGTATGGTTCTAAATAGCTAGCTATAGCTGTGTTATACATGCCTCTATAGGTGTTTTAGTATATATTGGTGCCTTTCCGCTACAAACACGATTTGAAACCTTGCTCGGTAGGGAAGCATGTGAAGACAAAATTTTCCCGAAATCTTGTAATGCCTGCTTTAAATGACTTCCCTTATGCAATGTTGCCATAGCAAACTTGTCTATTAGAAAAAGATGTGCTTAATTTGCTGCAATTATTCTTTGATCTGCCTTAGGCTTTGCTTGGTAGGGAAGCATGTAAAGACAATTTTTCCCGATAATCTTGTAGCGCCTGCTTTAAATGACTTGCCTTCTTATGCAATATTGCCATAGCAAACTTGTCTATTGGAAAAAGGTGTGCTTACTTTGCTGCAATTATTCTTTGATCTGCCTTAGGCTTTCATTTGCTCTAACAGCAAGTCGAATGAAGGACAAGGCTCATGTTGTTGCCATGGATCTACGGGGGCATGGGAAATCAACAACGATTGATGATCTGGATTTGTCCATCGAAGTATGTTCATCATGTTTCCAGACTTCTTTTCTATAATCATAATGGTTACGCTCTCATTCTTATTTAGTTAATTGGTGGCTGCACTTCTGTTACATAAGTTGTTTTGTGATTGGCTCATTGCTGGACCATTTCAGTCTTTAAAAGCGTTTTTGTTTGCCTCTGCAGACTCTTACCAATGATGTCATAGCTGTTATACGTACAATGTATGGAGATTTGCCACCAGCAATTATACTCGTTGGGCATAGGTGAGTCAGCAGCATGCATTTTTCCCTTTTGTTTTCTTCTGTTGTGCCCACATTATCTGAATTAGTCTACAAATGGTTAACTAACCCTAGATGAGGCTTTCCAAAGACAATATAAACAGAGGAGCGAATTACCTAAATAGACCCTGAAAAGTTATTTTTTTGAAACTTCCACTGAAACACCATGCTCTTAGTCGGTTCCAGCTTAATATATGTTATCGCTTTGCTTTATAGAATTCCTCCTTTTATCTTTTAAATTCAGCCAGACCGTTTGTATAGAATATTTCTATTTCTATCTATAGCTTAAAGCATTGAAAAA